GGGTTTAGGGTTTAGGGGTTTTTTCGGGTTTAGGACTTCAGCGTTTGATCCCTCATACTAGACTATACTGAACTTAGACCCCTAGCAAAAAATATAATTTAAGCTGCTTCTTAGGGTTTATAGTAGCCAAAGATTAAAAATTATTTCTAAGTACCCCTAAGTAGAGGCCTGGTAACTCCAGTCCTGGCACGGTTCGGCCCCAAAGTCTTGCGCGAACTGGCACTCGCCATAATCCTTGGCTCCATATGGGAGTTTCCGAAATTTGGGTACCTTATTTTGGAGTCCTTATAATAGGGATCCTACTATTTAGGCTACTATATTAGGGTCCCCTATTTTCGGAAACCCCCATATCTCCTATGGCGTCTTACGTTCAGGGTGTACAGTAAATTTCAGGGATAGAATTCTACATCTTTGTAAACAAGTCTTGCTAGAATGATCGAATATTGAAGGGTGAATCATATATACTACTTGACATATGGAAAGCAGCCCAGATCAGGTTAGGTCACATCCTAGTTATTTTCATAATTAGGTCGGGTTGGTTGTAAATATGGAAGCTCTTGGGAACGGATGAGGTCTACGTGGAAGATTAGAACCTACCCTAAACCCCCTAAACCCCCTAAACCCCTAAACCCCTAAACCCTAAACCCCCGTAAGCCCTAAACCCCTAAACCCTAAACCCTAAACCCTAAACCCCTTACCCTAAACCCAATCAAGCTCTTCAGGCTGCCACCTTTTACGCACTTCAGGGGCTCTGTTCTAAAACTTTCGGTTTAGGGTTCAGGGTTTAGGGTTTAGGGTTTAGGGCTGCAGGTCTTAATCCAGAGACTCCCACACCCAGAAAGCTCCTTAAGTGTCCATGTACCCATATAGGGCTTGGGGTTTAGGATTTAAGGTTTAGGGGTTTAGGGGTTTAGGGGTTTAGGGTTTAGGGTTTAGGGTTTAGGGTTTAGGAGTAGATACCCTCTACCTTAACGCACCTATAGGGAGACCCCTGTACGGCCTAAGGCCTAAGTATATACTACATGGGTACATGGAGTCTCGGGGGTTGCAGCCTCTTCCAACCGCCACGCTGAAGATAGGAGGCACCCAGGCGAACCCGATGTAGGGTCTAAGGTTTCAGGGTTTAGGGGTTGGCGGTTTTCGACTTTAAAGTTTAGGGTTTAAAGTTTAGGGTTTCAGGGTTGAGGGTTTGAGGGTTAAGAGCTTGAGGGTTTCCGGATTTAGGGTTTACTGTAGGGGTTTAGGGGTGTAGGGCTTTGGGGTTTAGGGTTTAGGGTTCAGGGTTCAGGGGTTTAGGGTTTCGGGTTTAGGGTTTAAGTTTAAGGTTGCAGTGGCATTTATAGGGCTGCAGGGTGAAATCCTTGAACAGTC